CTCTATGGTAGAGACTGAAAGGCTGGAGAACATAGAAATATTAAAAATGGTAATGGACATTAGAGACCAAGTGGAAAGATAATGTGGGAGGGGAAGAGCATAGGAAAGGAAATTTGGGGGTAAAATGAAGGGGTAAGACACTTGTGAGACACAGATAAGGTTTATTATCTGTTGACGAGGATGTGTAAAATAATCTCAGCTGGGCTGGACTGAGGTGTAAATCATGGTGGGTAAAGTCTCTTCACAATATAAATGATGTGTAGTGATTTAATGTATAAATAATAGAAAATTTTAAAATAATAATTAAAAAATATAATAATAATAAAATGAAATAAATAATTCCTTTTTTAAAAAGGAGTACAAAATTTCAGATAGGAGAAAAAGGTTTTAAGAGCTACTGTACAGTAGCATATTATAGTCAATAACAGTATACTTTATATTTCAAAATAACTAAAAGAATATTTTGAACATCTCACCATAAAACATGATAAGACAAGTATTAGTTTGATTTAATTATTCTACATTGTATGCATCTATCAAATCACATTGTATCCCATAAATGTAAACAATTATGACTTATAAAGACAATTATTACAGTTTTTTGTTTTTGTTTTGTTTTGTTTTAAAGACAGTGCTTGATTCATCACATTCCCCTTTTCCAGGTGCTTGAGAAGGTGGGGTTTGTCAGCTCAGGTTTTACGATAAAGGGATCTGGTATGTCACTGGACTCCCACGTGGCCAACTGCCATTTGGGTCTCAGACCTGGTGACTTGAAACTCACACTAGGCACATATGCATGTGTGCCCAAAATCCTGAGAGGAGAATGGTCAGGAGAAGGGACTGCAGAGTGGCCACCCCCTTAGGGGGTGATATTTCTCACATTCTTTCTCTCCAATGAATGCACACATCCTATACAAAAATCTCTTTAAAAAAAAAAAACGAAGGTTAAAGGAAGGGAAGGACTGGCTGGTAGGGAGAAGGATGATTTCACTAGCAAGCCTTGTAGGATTACTAAGAAATTTAAATATTGTACACATACAACTTTGAAAAAAATACAAGCTAATTGCTATTTTTTTAAGCGAGTTTTATTACAGAGCATGTACACTTGCCAGAGAGACAGAGACAGAAAGCAAGAAAGCACTTCCTGCCCCGCCCCCCAGGGGATTGGGGGTGGGATGGCCTTGCTAAGATCCCTTCTCCTCCATTCTTCTCTCAGGATTTTGGACACACCTGCATGAGTTTCAAGTTGCCAGGTCAGGGACTCGAACCATGGATGGCCATGTGGGAGTCCAGCAAGGTAACCATTACACCATCTGCTGGTCCCCAACAGCTAATTTTAAGAAGTCAACTTAATAAAACCAGTAGCTAATTTTAAAAATTGTACACAAATTCTATTATGTATGAAATCAGAGAGAAAGAACAATAAAATTCTTTTAATGAAAGGATCTCTGACAACAGATAAACAAGTTAATAGAATAAAAGAACACTGTTATATTTGGAGGGGGAAAATTAATGTAATCAGTAACATTCTGAAAAATAATACCAAAACTGATGAAAACTAAAACCTGAAGAGAGTAATAAACCAAGCCAAAAATTTTTAAACATACAGCTTTACCTCCTGAAACCCCTAGCACAAGTTGTTGTTGATGAAAAAAAAAAAAAAAAATTAAGAACACAGAAAACACCATTACAATTTCCTATATAATTTGATAAACATAAAGTAGTATCAAAAGCTACACAACTCAAATACAGAAGTAACACAAAATCTGTACTACACAGGATAAAAATTTATAGACCAATATTATTTATAAATATAGATATAAAAAACTCAATTATATTAGTAAATTAAACAGCTAATTGTAAGACCTGACTATTCAAATAAAATGGAAATTATTGCTGGAAAGCAAGGATTGATTAGCACTACAAATTGTAATGACTTTACCAATATGCCAAGTAAGAAAATGAGATATTTTCTATTTGGTACCCACATATATGTATATGTTTTCTTCTGCATCCCTCGGGGGATGGCCATGCTGCAATCCCTTCTCCTCCATTCTCCTCTCAGGATCTCGGGCATGCACGCACATGCGCCCAGTGTGAGTTTAAGCCACCAGGGTCCAGGACTTGAACTGTGGTTGACTACATGGGAGTCCAGCGACATAGCCATTACGCCAACTGCTGGTTCCTTAAACCGTATTTACTTCTTATGTATTGGAAAAACAGAAGCATGATTTCTTATAACTTTCCATATTTCATATTTGACAATACTACATTTTATTTTGATAATTACTTGGTAGTATATTTTGTGTGATGGCAAATTTTGAGATGCCCGAATGTGAAATGTATGAGAATGCTGAGTCTTTAATTTTTAAACTGTGTTTATCTTTATATTTCAAGTGCAGTATTGTGATACTAGTCAGTCCTTTGTACTAATTCCACAGATGTTTGAGCTTGGTTGTAAAAGTTATAAAATAGTTTCTGGATAAAAAAAAAAAAACTCAAATCATCTTATCATGAAGATAGTAGATAAAATTCAATACCCACTATTTATAAACAGTTTCAAGTAGTAGAAAGGGAAGGCTGCTTCACTCAGCATATTAACATTTGTTTTAAACCAACAAACAATAGCACACTTCAAGTTGATACCGCTGGAGGTAATACTAATCAAATCAGGCACAAAACAAATATATCCACAGTGGGGTTCTGATCAGTCATCAGAGAGAGAGAAAGAGTTCATGCAGATTGGAAAGAAGGCAGGAAAAGTCTTCCAGTTTTAGAAATCTGCAAAAAAAAAAAAGTATTTGAATTCATTTTTTTAATCAATAAATCGATAAAGAGATAGAACAGTTCATGGGGGGGGGCACTTGCAATAGAACAAGAAATACAAAATATTATGATAGAATCCTAATAGAAAATGTGTGATCCAGATTGAGAGAAGTAGGAATAGGAACCTCAAATATTTTGCTGATAGATATAAACTTGACTAATAGAAATACTCAGCATGTTCCTCTACAAAAAGTCTAAATGTATTAAGGAAGACAATTCTTTCCAAGAAATATATTGTTTTAAATCAATGTAAGTAAAAATTCCAGTTGGAATTTTGTTTAAACTCAATGAAATTATTATATGTTTGGGAAAATAAGTAAAAATATTTGAAATATATTTTAAAATATGGGGGTAAGAGAAACAAGCCCTTCCAGACACAATAATACATAGTAAAATGTCAATAATTAAAACACTCTAATACCGAAGCAAAAATAAATGACTTGATCAAAGTACAAAACAGGTAATAATTAGAATAAAATACAAAATTACCAACCAGGCCCAGAAGCTATGGGTCAGTGGTAACCCTAGCCCCCTGCAGTGCTGGAAGCCATATGGTGACTGTGGTTCAAATCCCAGGTCAGCCTGAAAAACATGCCAGGCTCATGCTCAGGATGCTGAGAAACTGGAGGGCTGGGGTGAGGGGGTATGGCATGATGAGATCCTATCAAGGATGCTTTCTTCCACTCTCTCTTTCTTTCATGCATATGCTCATACTCAAGCTTTCTATCATAAAAAGAAAAGGGGAGAAATATCATCAACCAATGGAGAAGGAATGATTTATTAGCCACATCTTGATGCCTACCAAGGTTGCATTTATGTCTCCAGAGAATTAGAACGCCTTGGATACCTGGAATGGGGACATTTTTTTATTTAATGTAACTAGGTGAGAACTTTCACGCTATTGGCCAAGTGCTTCTCCACATTTTCCCTCAATATGGAGTTTTCTAGCTTCATTTTACCAAAATAACTTAGTACAATGGAAAAACAGACCGAACAGAACACCCTGACCTGGTTCATTGATCCACTTCTCTCAGCTCTGCTCTTTCTCAGCACGGGGCTTTATCTTCCTAATTCCCTTTTATCTTGTAGGCCTCCAACCCATCTTTCCCTTTTGACTAAATTTCACCAATGAAATAATGTGATAACTGGTTAAATGTGTAGATTCTCATTTCAGACTATGGGGCAAGGAAAATTCTGGATGAATTCATTAACTAAAACAATTCAGAAAAATTAGAAGAATAAAATAGAATGTTTAAAAGAATCTTTAAGATGATAAAATATACTATGCGATAAAAGGATGGATAGATTATAAAAGAAAAAATAAATATGACTGCCTAAAAATGTAAACTATTATATATCTAAAACATAGTATACAATAAAGGCAAGTGACAGACTAACGAAACAATGAATGAGGCATAGGATGAATTATTTTGTTATATAAAGCACCCATAAAATTGATGATTTTAAAGCACTAACAATATCCTAATAAGGGATAAGGATAGATCATTCATATAA